CCCTTCCATGCATTGAATTCAGAAACACTTTCAAAACTGGGCCAGTTTCAGAATTCATGCAAATGAATGCTATATCGAGTGAAATCGGCGTTTTTTTTTTATTTTACTAATGTCACTTTTGACAGTATGAAGATACTGCCCTGAAACCCTGATGTTAACAGCTCAAAGAAGGCATTACAGAAAAAGTTGTTGCCGTTTTTGTCATTCTGAGGACATGGTACGTGAGGTTGATGGAAGTTTGGGTGGTTCGATTATTATAACTCTCAGAACAAAAGTTCTACCGTGACATTATGTTCGTGCTGTAAGCTTGAGTGGGTTACCTCACAACAATCTGTAAGCTTGGATCACAATTTGGCACCCAAAATATTGTGAGATTTTGTTTCTGTGTCTGACTAGATGATTTTGTTAAGTTTGCTGCCTAAAGTGCTTGTTCTTCCGGAATTTAGCTCCATTATTGTCTGGCTCCCCACGTGTCTCCCAGCATTTCATACTCCCTGTGGCTAAGAATCATGTGTGTCAGCCAGTGGATCAAGGGGGTTTAGGAGTTACTGATTTGCAAGTTATGAACATTTGTCTTGTAAGTAAATGGATTTGGAAGCCTGAAAACAGTGAAGGAACGTGGCAGGATGTCATTAAGAAGAAATACTGTACTCCCCCTGTTTACTTTTGTAAGTCGTTTAACACAGCTGGAATTGAATTGTTTTAGGTGCTGTCTTAAATGTCTAAAACGTCTGACAAAAGTGAATGGAGGGAGTAATAAAGAATTGCTTACTTGTGTGAATACTAAACCTGGACAATCGCAATTTATGCATGGTCTACTAAGCTGTAGGGATTTGTTTTATAAATTCTGTAGAAAAAATGTTGGGAATGGCCTTAATACTAGATTTTGGAGGATCAATGGATCGGGAATAAACCTCTGTGTGACAGATTCCCTAGACTTTACCATGTGAGTACTAGCTGCAATATCGTAGTAGTCGTTTTTAACTCTGGATGGGATAGCATTAAGTTTAGAAGGAATCTTAGAGGTGCCTTGCTCGATAGTTGGAATAAATTGTAATTACTTTGTAAGGATATACAGTTAAGTGAGGATAGGATAGGGATAGATGTAGATGGAAGCTCACTGAGTCAGGAGAGTTTTCTATTAAATCCATGTATAAGATGCTTAAAGCAGTTCAAGATGCAGAGGACTGCTGCCAATGTGAAGATCTGGGCCAAGACCTGTTCAGTGATGCAAAACTCCAATCCCATTTGGCGTCGGAGGTGATCCTGTGGCTGGATATTGCTCAGGAGAAGAGGAAGCTCACGCCCAGGGAATTCGAGCTGCGCAAATGCTGAAGCAACGGATCGTCGGGCTGGCAGCAATCGAGTGAGCGCACAAAAGCCAGGCATCCAGGATAACATGGCTTCACGCTGGGGATGCAAGGACCGCATTCTTTCAGGCAAAGATCAACGGTGGTGCACCATCACTTCACAGAGTTGCTGGGCACGGTGCGCGCGCGAGGATAAATGCTCAACTGGAATGCCATTGAGCTGCCGCGACTACAGAACGAGGGGCTTGACAACCCGTTCTCAGAAGCTCAGGTGTGGGAGGCGATCGTGGCGTCGCTGGTGGAGAAGGCGCTGGGCCCCGATGGCTTCTCGGGTAAGTTCTTCCGGGTCTGCTAGGGCACAATCAAGACCGACGTCATGGCCGTCTTCAATCACTTTCTACAGGCTCGCCAGGGGGAATTTCAGCGACCTGAACCTGGCGATGATCGTTCTGCTGCCCAAAAAGGAAGGGGCCACCACTGTCTGCGTTCATCCACTCCGTTGCAAAGCTGATCGCCAAGGTGCTCCCCATGCACCTCGCCACGGTAATTAATCAGATCATCTCGCCGGCTCAGACTGCCTTCCAGAAGAACAAATGCATCCAAGACAGTTTCATGTACGTACAGAACAAAGTCAAAGCCCTGCACCGCAGGAAAACCCGGCGCTCCTGCTCAAACTGGACATCGCCAAGGCTTTCGATAGTCTCTCCTGGGAATACTTGCTCGAGCTTTTGCAGCGGCTAGGTTTCAGCACACGCTGGAGAAATTGGATCGATGCCCTTCTGTCAACATCTACGCCGGCCTGTCTGCTGAATGGAACCCCCAGCGAGACCATCTTCCACCGATGCGGGCTGCGATAGGGGGATCCCCTCTTGCCCCTCCTCTTCATCATCGCGATCGACCCACTACACCGGTTGCTAGAACAGGCGACGCGGACGGAAACCCTGCAGCCAATCCCTGGCAGTGCAAAAAGGCTACGGGTCAGCCTGTACGTTGACGACACCATTATCTTTGCAAACCCTGACCGAGCGGAGATCGACACACTGATGAAGGTCCTCAAGCTCTTCGGGGAGGCCACCGGGTTGCGCGTCAGCCAACCAAAATCTTCTGCGATCCCCATATGCTGCGACGACGTGGACCTCGGTGACGTCCTGTTGAATTTTGGCGGGCAGAAGACTAGCTTCCCAATCAGTTAGCTCAGCCTCCCCGTCACGACGGGCAGGATTAGGTTTGTCCATCTGCAAACCCTGACCCTGCACCCGGACATATGGATCGAGGGACCAACAACCACTGCCAAGGTCAAGATGATCATCGACGCCGCCGCCTCGGCAGCCCGGAAAGGCACCAAATCCATGATCGCACTTATCAGCTGGCGAATCTAGATGGAGAGGAACGACTCCGTATTCAAAGGAAAGACACCAAAGCATGGTCAACATCATGAGATCCTGCCGCTCCGACATGGAGCAATGGAGGATCGCGAGAGCGGCATGTTTAGAGCACCCTTTTGGGCAGGTGCCGTGAGCTATCAGCCCGGCGTTGTTTTCCTCTGTTTCCTATGTGTTCTCTCCATTTCACCAATCACTTGATCAAACACCTTTGTCGCTTTCTTATGCTAAGCTAATGAAAACCAGCAATTGCTGGCCAGTTCAAAAGAAAAAAAGTTATGGTTTGTTAGAGTCCCTTTGAAAATCAAAGTTTTCCTTTGGTTGATGTTTAAGAACACTAATATTTACCTATGATCCGTAAAGCATGACACAATCAGCTCATTGGTTGGAATTTTGGAAATTGCCATAGATACGAGACTTACGAGGGGTGCAAGTCAAAGGGGCGAGGTTACTGCTCCAATGGCGGCGGACATATTCAGTAGGGGCGTGTTTGGTTGCCGTGTGCTACAGTACCTGCATTGCATACCCTTCTCCACTCAGTCTGAGTCTAGAAAAACAGCCTCATATGCGACATCTGCGAGTTGTTTGGTTGCCTGCATATGGACTTCTTGCATTAGGAGATCAACTTTGGCACGTTGTTTGGTTGCCTGCATCGTCTCAGTGCATGCAACTACACGCTGTTTGGTTGCCCGCATGGGGTATGATTAAGAGCTAGCACTTGCACTTAGCACATAGGGTTAAGAGCTAGCAGAGGAAGGGGGAGAAGAAATGCAGTGTGAGCCGGACCATGGTGACTGCGGTGGATAGTGGCCGTGGCGCCGTGTCCGACATGATGAGCATGGAGTCGTGGACGAGTGACCTCGTCGGCGGCACGGCGAGCAACACCGTTGGCGAACTAGTTGAGGTGCTCGCGCAAAGACAGTGGACATAGGAGGAGAATGCAATGCTCGCGCCATCGTATCGTCAGTGCAGTGGACGAGAGAGGAGGCAGAGATGATCAACGCTGGAAACGACTCCAGTGTAGTAGGGCGAGAGAGAGGAGGCGAAGATGATCGACCCCGTCGGCAGCGCGGCGAGCTGCAGTGTGCGCGGAGGCAGAGGACACAAGAAAGCAGTGTGCGCGACATAGCAGCGTCAATGCAGTAGGAGTACGACAGAGAGTAGGCCGAGATGAGCGACGCGGGAAACTACTCTAGTGTAGTAGCACGCGGGCAAGGAGATCAAGGGGAAGGGCTTCGGCGTCGAGAGGGATGAATAGGAGGGCTTTGAGCAGAGGGCAGAGGAGCTAGACATGGCGGCGTCAGTGCAGTAGACTGCTGTTTAAAGAGAGATGAAACTACGATCGTCGAAATCAAAAACTTACAACACGAATGTTGTGAGGAACTGCGAGATTAGGCTACTGGTCAAAGGAAATTTCAAATGATCGATCGTGCGCGACGAATCGGACAAAATTCGTCCAGAATAGCTCCAAACGGGAACACGAGATTAAGAACTTACGACCGACGAAACTACGAACCAATCGCCTGAATGGAACCGTAGCATCGAGGTGCATCTTTTTCGTGTAGAGATTACCTTGAACCGAAGCACCGTTGTGTAGATCAGAGGAACAAGGAAGAGAGGAGATTAGAGAGAAGCTTACTGGAGGTGTAATCACTCGCATCCCTCCCATCTCCACTAATGCAAGGGCCAGCTCGCGAGAAACCGCCGATCTTCTAGTGAGCCAGGTCCAAAGATGTTTTAAGTTTCGCACTATGCAGGCTCAACAGTAAAATCAGTCAATCAAACAGCCTGTTGCCTTCCCGCGCGGGCCTAGGCCTTATGCAGGCAACCAGACAGGGTGCCAATGGTGTTGAGGAATGCCGGATGACAGGCGGGAAATGCTGTATAAAGACTTCTTGAATGAGCTGCTGAAAACGATGTTGACAGCTCTACTAGTTTGTAGTTAAAAGAATCTCGGGTCTTTTACCTTTGATGTCCAGTTTTGGCTTTCCTTGTCTGTAATAATTGGGAAAGTTTGTTTGCCTTTCAATTTCAGTAAATGAAATTGGGGAGCAACCCCTTATATATAATTCAAAAAAAGAAGAGTGACGTATGTATTTCACGTCATATGTCAGATCCAACAAGGAGAGAACGAGTATACAGCCATGGGAATTCGACGAGTAGCATCCACTGTTTAGTGTAAGTAGGTGCATTCAGATTACACGAGTCAAACCAGGATAATACATAGCTACGTACTTAATAATGCCTAAAGCCTCGATCACTACAACCAGGATAGCTAAAACTAAGATAGTGTGTTTCTTATAACCCGCTAAAGGTAATATGGTATACTCATAAAGAGCACAGCAGTTGTAGGCACGAGTACAAGAAGAGCAATATCACATTTCTTCTCAAATTTGCGAAGCTCCTTGCGGAAATTTTCTTCAGGATCAGGCCATTCACGACTGCGCATAGAAGGGTGATTATGTTAGAGAAAAAGTTATGTATTACGTACATGTTCTGTTTACGTGCACATAAAACATAGTGTACACAAAGTTTATAATCTGGTCAATAAGCATGCAAGCGTTATTTGTATAACAACTTCCTTGTCTGAAAATACAGCTTCCTTGTCTGAAAATACAGAGCAACACATTCTGCACACACAAAGGTTTTGAGACCCAGAGTGTTCACAAACAGTATCAAGCGTAATTATTATAATAATAAATTCTGGTCATTTACCTGTGAAGTTCTTTCAAAAAATCCAAATCTTTCTGTATATCCTTCATGCTCTGCTCAAAACTTGCTTCAGTGCGATTGAATTCCTCGCGCCGTTTGGCGCGCGCTTCATCAGAATAAAACAGCTCTTCTTCCTAATGTTTAAGTGCATGTGTACAGGTTAAAAAAAGCTAGAATTTCATCAGGAAGCTGCAATGAAGTAAATAATCATGCATGCCTCAAGAGTTGAGAAAGACCCAATAAATTTTAAATTTTGGTCTACGGTCAAATCTAAATAAGTAATCCTTATTGACTTTTGTAATAATAGAATATATCCTTACAAAAACCTTTCAACATCCAAACATCCTCTCATATATACTGGTTATTGATTTCTCTAAAAAGTTAAAAATTACTCCCTTCGTCTCATAATATAAGAACGTTTTTGACACTCGATGATACTGAGGGGAAAAGAGCAAAATCGCATCGTCTGGGATCAGATCTAACTTCAGGTAGTTGGTTTGTCTAAAAAGCTGTAAATTAGATGAAACTAGACGGGAAAAAAAAGCAAAATCACACGGGCGGGGTCTGATCTAACTTGTGGTGGGCGATTTGTCTAAAAAGTAGTAAAAAAATTACTCACAATGTAACTTAATAGAGAGCAAAATCGACCGGCGGGAATCAGATATTTGTGAAACTAGCAAAATCGCGGTGGGGGTGATTGAATTGTCTAATAAGTTGTAAATTAGAGGAAACTAGAGAAAGAAACAGCAAAACCGAACCGCCGGCTATCAGATCTAACTTGTAGAACATCCAAGCTGATAGCTCACCTGTGGCTGTGGGACATGGGACATCAGGCGAGAACACGCCGGCGGCGAGAGCGAGAGCGAGAGCGCGTGCACGAGGCCCGTACGGGGGGCCATCCCGAGCGACCTACCGAGGGCAGGCATCTTCCTGAGGGCAGAGCGAAGCGCCATCAGGTCTGTCAGAGCAAGGCGTCGTGGATCTAGGGTTTGTTTGGGTGGTCTGATTTCGCTTCAGAGACGGGGAGCCTCACATTATATAAAAAAAAAACAGGAGCGGGCGGACCTCCCTAAAAAAAAAAAAAACAGGAGCGGACGGACCAGGTCGCTCTCCAACTCCTCGGTAAGTTTTTTTTTAGCGGTACTCCTCGGTAAGTAAGTAGGTCCGGTTCCGCCACCAACATAACTTGTAGCGCTGGCCCAATTCGATCCCCATTTTTTTTTCTCTAAACACAGTACACACGCTAAAATTCTCAAAAAAGAAAAAACTACACATGCTAACCGTGTAGTACATACACCTCTCCCTACTAGTATAATATAATCTGTCAACCCAAGTCCAATTTCAGAGAAATATTGTTTTTATGATGCGAACCTACCTATGGTTGGATGGTTAGAGAGATAATGATATCCTCAGCACATGAGGGTTCAAGTCATGGTGCTCGCATTATTTTTGAATTTATTTTAGAATTTCTGATGATGCGCTTTCAGTGGGAGGAGATGTTCCCATCAACGATGAGGCGACTACGGTGGCTTCGTAAATCTCAAAATGATATGCCGGCTCAGTCTCTCGAACGTGTTCATAGGAGTAGGATGTGGGTGTGTGCGTTCATAGGGGTGAGTGTATGCATGTATATATGAACGCTTGCATTTGCACTGTGTTTAAAAAATTATTTCCAGGATTCACCGCAAGTAATACTAGCAAAAGAGTCCATGTGTTGCATAGGGAGAAATAAATCATAATATCCAAAGACCATGAAAACATTCTGCTGCATCCATGTGTTGCCGATAATATTTTGATGAACATTTTGTTCAATTTTATTTATATTTTTAATACACAATTTTTTTAAAAAAATTCATGAATATTTTTTTATTTCCCAAACATTTATTTTCAAAGTTAAGAACATTTTCTGAATATGCAGACACTTTTTAAAAAAATTACAAACATTTTCTTAAACCAGAAACATTTTATGATTTATTGAATATTGTATTTAAAATTCTCTTTTTAAAATTTTGGAAACTTTTTGGAAGTACCAAATTATTTAAGGGCGAAAAAATAAAAACCAAAAAGAAAAATGAAAAATGAAAAATGAAACTTAAAAACAGGTCATCCACACATGGGCCGGCCCAACAGGCGCCCTGCGTCTTCAACCAGCACGTAGAGCGTAGTATAGGAGGGCCCTACTCCGTGGGCCCGCCCAGGTGGGCACTATGGGAATCAGGCAATTTGCAACGTTGTTTTTTTTTTGCATGGTAATACGTGTCTCTTTATATCATAAGGATCATAGTACAAGGCACGTACAAACCGAACTGGCAAAATTGAAAAGACAACAAATTGCTAGTCTTTGCACAAAGGAGCAACAACCACGAAGTAAAATTTAAAGACATTACAACTGAGCACTCTTCCAGCCCTCTAAGGCCATCAATGTTTTGGGTCGTCGGATCTATGGTCGTATCAGTTTTTGGCCGTTGGATTAACCTCTCAGCGCAACAGTTTACGCGAATGGGAATGGGCCGCCGCTCCCGTAACAAAATTGGCGTTCTATGGTTAACTGGGCCAACCTCGGCCTTTTAGGGAAGGCGAAGCAAGCTACGCTACCTCTCCGGCGGCGTCTACACCGGTAGCCGCTGCGATGATAGCCCCGTATCCGAGGTGTCACGACATCTCCCTTCCGTCCTTTCTCTTGATCTGGCAGCTTGTACCAGGCAAGCCCTATCCACCCGAGATTTCCCTTCGCCTCATTTGCTTTCCGTCCTTGTTGGTCTCTCAGCGAGAAAGGTCGATCGATCGCCCCTCGATAGAAACAAATCGCGCGATCTCTTCCAACCCTCTAAGGCCATCAATGTTTTTGGACGTCGGATCTATGGTCGTATCAGTTTTTGGCCGTTGGATTAACCTCTCAGCGCAACAGTTTACGCGAATGGGAATGGGCCGCCGCTCCCGTAACAAAATTGGCGTTCTATGGTTAACTGGGCCAACCTCGGCATTTTAGGGAAGGCGAAGCAAGCGACGCTACCTCTCCGGCGGCGTCTACACCGGTAGCGCTGCGATGATATCCCCGTATCCGAGGTGTCACGACATCTCCCTTCCGTCCTTTCTCTTGATCTGGTAGCTTGTACCAGGCAAGCCCTATCCACCCGAGATTTCCCTTCGCCTCATTTGCTTTCCGTCCTTGTTGGTCTCTCAGCGAGAAAGGTCGATCGATCGCCCCTCGATAGAAACAAATCGCGCGATCTCTTCCAGCCCTCTAAGGCCATCAATGTTTTTGGTCGTCGGATCTATGGTCGTATCAGTTTTTGGCCGTTGGATTAACCTCTCAGCGCAACAGTTTACGCGAATGGGAATGGGCCGCCACTCCCGTAACAAAATTGGCGTTCTATGGTTAACTGGGCCAACCTCGGCCTTTTAGGGAAGGCGAAGCAAGCGAGGCTACCTCTCCGGCGGCGTCTACACCGGTAGCCGCTACGATGATATCCCCGTATCCGAGGTGTCACGACATCTCCCTTCCGTCCTTTCTCTTGATCTGGCAGCTTGTACCAGGCAAGCCCTATCCACCCGAGATTTCCCTTTGCCTCATTTTCTTTCCGTCCTTGTTGGTCTCTCAGCGAGAAAGGTCGATCGATCGCCCCTCGATAGAAACAAATCGCGCGATACGAGAGAAGGTGAAGGCCATCGGGCAATGAGAGAGATGGGATCGCTGCGAGAGAGAAGGCATCCACCAAGCCAGCCACGATGCTGTCCGCCACCGCCAGGTCAATGATCCGCTCGTCCTTCCCTTCTCCGCGCCACTCCGACGGGATGTCTTCCTCTGCGGCGCGATCGACCCATCGCCGCGCGTAGGTGCGCCCTGCCGCCTGTACGACCTAAACCACCAGTGGACTATGCCCTAACATCGTTGTGCACGCTGGACAGAGGAGATGGGTTGTGCGTAGAACGTGGATCAGTGACAGGGGGGATCCAGCCGTGCTCGATGCGGGCGATCGGTCCAGCCGACGCGCGTGCGGTTTGGGCGAATCCAGCCCACTCGAGCAGGATACGGAGGAAGCGCGATGCGGATGGATCGGGGTATGCTCGATCGTCTATGAGGGAATCCAGGCTTCTTTTGCGTCAGGGATGCCTGCACCATAACATCTGATGTCTTGTATTTTTTTTCTCAGGGAAGTGTGGTTGGGGAATGATAAGCTTGTGTTGTGCATAGGTACAAGGAGGGACTCGCAATGTGAACATGCCCGCACAAACAATCGCAGAAATGGTGAGTTCTTTCTTCCTTAATTCAGCTTGGCGGGATGCGGCAATAAATCAGATGTATTTTACGTCCTCTGTCCAACTGATAATTCCTTCCCAGAAGGATATAAATATTTGGAGTATCTACTGTTAGTACTGTATGAAATGGAACAGTGGATAAAAAGAGCCCTAGGTTTGTCTGCTTGGAGCTTCAACTTGGCTGTTGTTTCAGTCCTCTTCAATCAAATATTTTCACAATTCAAAGTCCAATCGATCTATAACGATGATGTTAATCTCTTGTATCGAATGTTTCTGTTGTTGATGTATGAGACAAATCATAGTTATAGTGCGCCACATGTTTTTCCCATTTCAGTAACTAAAAAGAATGTACAACTGTTGATAATATTTTTGCATCTACTAACTGTCAGTACCCATGGCCATGTTTTGTGGGATAAATGCTGTCCAATTCCTTCTTGGATGGCACACATTATTACTGTGTCTTCGTGTGGAAAAAGATTGGATGAATGGATCAGTTAGTTATACTATGGTTAGCCCGAGTACGTTGAATTGGTTCTATATAGAAAAACGTAATGTTGGTGCCACTGTTCTATTCCTTCTTGGTTTCCAGTAAGTTGAATCAATTCTGGATAAAATCAAAAGGTTAGTGACCTTGTAATTCGCACAATATGGATGCTTGTATTCCTCACTTTATATTCAATTAAAATAACAATATGGTTCATTACGCTATGCCATCTTGATGTGGTGTACAATAACAGTAGTGTGGTATCTGATGATCTTGAGAAATATGATGATTAATATATGAACGGTTGAAAGTATACAAAGTAATTGTTGATGGAGTAAAAATTGCACTTTATTGAAACAAAGTTGAAGGGTATATAGATGCAGTTTGATATAGAAAAATGTAAAAAATAAATTAAATAGATGTGTTAATTAATGTTCCTTCTGCTATGTATAATACAAAGCCTTGTCTCTCTTTGTCATTTAAGTGCAAGTTCGGTTTCGATAGTATGTTCACTTACTGATCTTTATACATGTTCTCTGGTAGGAATGTGTCAGATGGCATAACTCTCCATGAGGCATGGAAATAAAAACAGACTGCCCAAATAATTTTGTTGAATATTCCTAATTTCTTGCTTATAATCATTTTTACACTTCAAAGGCCTTTGATTTTCCGTATAATTTTTGTAGTACTCTTTATCTAGGTTTCTATCTTCTTATTCCTTTGGTATGCAAAATGAATGTATTAGACTTTCTTCGTAAGCAATACCATATGGTAACAATACAATTGTACCATGAACACCTTCCTGACCATTTCTGATGAATATTTCTTTATATTTCAAGTGCATTGAACTGTTGTGCTCTTCTCGGGCAATAGAAATTTTATTATGTGCGACTTCATGTTCATTCTTGTCCATGTTTTTTCCTTATAGCTTGGTTAAAATGCCTGCCATGCTATTTTATATCAACATTCCAATATTTTACATATTCAAGTGACCCTAACATATTTGCAACAATTTCCTTCACTGCCCTTATAAGAGCTATCAATTTCTTGCTTAGGAGACACTTTCTTGATATGTACATGTAGATCTATACAATCTACAATTATTATCAAAACCCTAAAATGTATTGAAGTACTAAAATGTGAACGTTCATGTGCAACAATGTGTGCTTTCATGTTCAACTCTAAGATTATTAGACCTAGGGAAAAAAG